TTGGAAAAGTCATGAGTTTTAGTAATACTAGATTTTCACCCGTGCGATGCGCGAGACATATATTAACGTGTAATTATATGATTTTATATACTAACATTACTAGTTAATGTGTAATGATTGCAACGCGTATAGATGTGATACACATAAATAATTATAATTAAGGAACAAATACTTATGAGTCATAAGTGGTACGATACCTTTTATAGAATAAGAAGGGAAAAATAAAGGATACAATAAATTTCACAATGACTAAATATTTCGAAACATTTCCATGTAAACAACATCAATAGCGTGGTTGTTTTTCCCCATCTTCATTTTGACGAAAGTGTTAGATGATTTTGTGATGAGGCCACGAAACTTCCTGTGCATTTTGATCAACAATTTCTGTACACAAAAAATACATATATCTTAAAAAATAATTAAGATAAACATATGATATGAATTTATTCATTTTATTTTTATCATTATACATATCATTACAATTAAAAAAAGGTATAATAAATATAAATATAATGAAGCCAACAATTTTATGACATTGTTTTTTTTGGATAAAACACAGCCTTTTCGTTATATTCAGCCCTTTTATTAAGAAAGTAAGTAAAATATACGCCATAATACAGAACTTTTAACGTTGTCCCTTACGGTCTTGCCCATACCTACGGCCTGTTTTAGGCATTTCCAAAAGACAGTTAAAAAATAAGAATGGGGTAAAGTCCATTAGGAGGAAAGTAGCACTAAATAATACTCCATCCGATCCTAAATAAACTTAACACTTTATTTTTTTGGGTAGGTCCAAAATAAACTTCATACTTCTTCTCTCTTCCATATTTGGCAAATTATCTACATCAAAACAGTGCAAAACAGTGTCAAACAGTGCCACACAGTGCCAAACAGTGTCACAACAGTGTACTCAACAGTAAAGTCAAATTTATTTCCTTAATTTGTGTGAAGTCAAAGTGTGAAGTTTATTTAGGACCGGAGGGTGTATTTTTTTTATCTATAATATTTTAAAGAGTAACATTTACAAAATTATTTCATTATAAAATTCAAGTAAAGCAGACATTTATCAGATAGTCCAAAGCAAATTTCAGCTAGTAAAAACATCTAAGGGTATGTTTGGGAGTTCGGAGAGAAAGAGAGGGGTGAGAAAGTCTTTCTTTGTATTTGAGAGTAATAAATTTGGAAGAAAGGGAGTTTTTGAATGAATTATAATTAAAATCATTTTGAGATATGACGAATTTAAATAATTGAACTGATATTTATTTTTATTGAGCTTAAATTACCATTTCATTAAGGGAAAATTTCCGAAATAGGACTAAAACAATTTGAAAATTCCAAAATAGGACTGTCATGTTTTTATTCCCAAAATAGGGGGTAATATTCTCTTTCATGAATTATCCTTCAAAACAGTCCAAATTTGAAGAACTTAAAAATTGAAAATTTAGAGAGTTTTGGAGGGTTATTAAAACAAAAATGCTATAGGTACCCCACTTTTTACCCCATTTGCACCCCATATAAATAACCTAATTTTTTTCTCCCTCTTCCTCTGCGCCTAACCCTTCTCTCTCCTTTTCTCCGCGCCTAACTCATCCCTCTCAGATATCTCTCCTTTAAATTCATCTTCTTCTTCTGACCTCTTTTTTTCTCCTATTTCATTCTTCCTTCTTCCTTGTTTGCCCCTGTCTTCAAGTACTCCCTGTTCCTTCTTTGGTGTGAAGAATCCATAGCCCCACAAAAATGTGCAGTCGGATAGAACACAAATTGAAGAACGAGGCCTCTAGACCATATCGCTCATTCCAAATTTAAATATTATTTAAATTACTAGGAAAATATTGTATAACGAAATGTTGGAAATATTTCTTTGTAGTGTTTCAGTCCATTATGCCGCCTTGGTTACCTTATATATTGACCATGTCAATTAATTAAGTCAATACCTTCAAGTTCCCCAGAAGAAAATAACTCTTAGCTAGAAGTAGTTTGATTCAGTATGTCTCTTCCACATCATTTTCCTTAGGTATGCCTCTTTCTCCATTCTTTCCATTTTCTTCATTTTTTTGTTGTTTATCTTTTATTTCATGAATAATACTCTGTATATGTATATCTTTTAATGTTGAATGATTGATTATGTTGTGTTATTGTGAAAATTTGTGATATTTATTATTGAAATTTAGTCCAATTATACTATGTCATTTTATGCCCATAACATGTTTGTAGAAATTACTCAATGAATTTTTTGTTGAAATTCAAGACTTCTTTTTTAATTTTTTTGTACCTCAGTGTTTAATGAGTATTTTTATGGATTTCCAATTTAATATGATATGGTAATTTTTTCCAATTTAATATTTTTAAATTGTCTGTCATTTGTTTGTTAGTTGTATGTATTTGTTTCGAGTTGTCTGTAATGACTTGTCTATCATGTTGTTGTGATGAGTCTATAAGAGTTGTGAAGTTGTCTGTCGTTTTAAAAATAGATGTTTGTAATTCATATTTAGTTGTTTGTCAAAGTTTATGGTAAAGTAGATTGGTAAAGTTTATGACTCTATGTGTGCCTCAATAGCAAGCATGGTATTAAACTTAATATTTTTTTGCATTACATGTATTGTCCGTGTTAAGTGTTCTAAATGTTTGAGTATGCTTTATTTGTCTGTCTACATATCCGAATAATGTGACATCATGGTCAAATTATTTGCAGAGCAGCTATTACTAAGGAAGTTATTGATTCCTGACTATGAGTACGCCAACATGGCGCTTGAAGAAGGTTGAAGCATGAAGTGGGGCAAATGTGTGGATTTTGAACTTGTGTTTTTTTTGAATATGTATTTTTTTACAAACATTACAACGTCTCTCTGTGTATGTTGTTCTTTTGTCTGTCTGGGTATCCTCCGTATTGTCTATTTGTGTAAAGTTATTGTCTCTTTGCGTAAAAATAATGTCTGTCTGCTTATCTCTATTTCCCCAACACTCTATGCTTCAATTTAGAACTGCAGCGTCTGTCTAGCCAGACAAAATTTGTCTGTCCCCGACATTTGTAGTCTGGGGTATGTATTAGTTTTGTGTCTTACACCCAGACACAAGTTGTTTGGGCCAGAGTGCCAGACATTAGTAGTTTGGGCCAAGTAACAACTTTGCGAAGTACAACCAAACAAAATTTGTCTATCCCAGACATTTTGTAATCTGAGTGTATGTATTACGATCCGTCTTACAGCCAGACAAAATTTGTTTGTCCCAGACATTTTGTAATCTGAGTGTATGTATTACTTTTCGTCTTACAGCCAGACAAAATTTGTCTGTCTCAGACATTTTGTAATCTGAGTGTATGTATTACTTTCCGTCTTACAGCCAGACAAAAGTTGCCTGGGCCAGACATTGGTAGTTTGGGCCAAGTAACAACTTTTGGAGTACAGCCAGACAAAATTTGTCTATCCCTGACATTTGTAGTCTGGGTGTATGTATTATTTTCCATCTTACAGCCAGACAAAAGTTGTCTGGGCCAGACATTAGTAGTCTGGACCAAGTAACTACTTTCTGGAGTTCAACCAGACAAAATTTGTCTGGCCCAAACATTTCTTGTCTACCTCACATATGTTCTTTGTACTACACATGTGCTCTGAATAATAATATGAAAGAGTAAATATCTTTTTGACATCATTGTCATCTGATATGATATAAATACCAACTAACAATTAAAGATACGAGAGTAATAAACAAAAATGGGAATTTATCCTCCTAAGTTTACTCTTTGTCTGTGTCAATACAATAGTTGTCTGCATGAGTAAAATTGCCTTCCTAAACATATTTAGAAACAATAATTAGATGTAAATACATGATATACATTAGTTCACATATAATTAGGTTCCAATCTTTATTTCAGCATTTTCTTTGCTAGAGGCTTCTTCACTGGAGGTTTTTTCACTCGGGTCTTCGTGAGTGTGCTTCTAACCATCATAGCACTAGCAGAGCTACAACAAAAAAGTAAAATATCAATGTATTATAACTTTGCCACAAAAATCAGAGAATAACTTTCTATTTTCCATGACTCTAAAAGAATGCTTTTCCAATTTTGGGCATATTTCGACCTTAATAGTTCAACTCAAGTGAAGCAAGGGACTTGGATGGAAGAACAACTGACATTATCCGTGTATCTCAAATTTTTTAAAAAATCACATCAAGCAAAATGAATATGAGTTTCTATAAAGTCATTGAATCATTTTGACAAACATCTTATGAGCATAAAAGTGAAATAGAATAGTTGAATTACAATTTTAAAAATAAAACATCACAATCGATACCAATATAACAATATAAAAGTGGAATAGAATACACTTTAGAGGCATCTATTCAAGAAAAAATAAAACATCAATTCAGGAAAAAATAAAATTATTGAAACTCTAATTCGTATTAACAGAAAAGGAGAAAATTCTCATTTTTCCCCAAAAAGTCATAGATATTAAAAACCCTAAAATTAGAAATTGGGTAAAGAAGAAAGGGATAGAGGAGCATATAGAAGGGAGTTACGGATGGGAGTATACCATCTTTATCATTGTTGTCTGTATCAGTTCTAGCTACAACAATGTCGTTCGTTCTTTAATTTGTGTGCTATCCGACTGCACATTTTTGTGGGGCTATGGATTCTTCACATCAAAGAAGAAGGAAGAGGGGGTACCTGAAGACAGGGGCATAAAAGGTTAGGCGCAAAAAAGGAAGAATGAAATAGGAGAAAAAAAGAGGCGAGAAGAAAAAGATGAATTAGACGCAGAGATATCTGAGAGGGATGAGTTAGTCGCAGAGAAAAGGAGAAAAAGGAGAGAGAAGGGTTGGGCCCAGAGGAAGAGGGAGAAAAAAATTGGACTATTTATACGGGGTGCAAATGGGGTAAAAAACGGGATACCTATAGCATTTTTGTTATTAAAACCTTCCGAAACATCCTCTCGGATTTTATAAATTCTCCTGAACATGTTATAAATCCTCATCGACCTTTGTCTTCCCATCCAAATTCCCATCCAACTCCCAACTCCCAAACTCCAATTCCGTAATTTTGCACCTTTTCCCTCTTTTTTTTTTTGCTTTAGCCGGTTCCCTCCCAAAGCAGCCGGCCCCACACCTCATTATCTGCGAAGAACCAGAAGGCAGATGTAAGAAGTCAGAAGCCGTTCGCGAAGAAGTCGAGCAGCTTCATTACAGAACCTCCAAATCCAAGGTTTTTTAATTCTTTTAGGGATGTGTGGTTGTGAATTTTGAGATATTATCCGTTTTATCAATTATGGATGAGTGAATAGGTGTGGTAATTTTGCTATTAGAGTTAATCTCATTGGATAATGGTTGATAACATTCTATTACGGAATAAATTGTGAATATGTTAGGTAGGTATTTTGATTAGAGTAGCATCTGGATTCTGCTCTGCCCTACTTTCTTTATTTCTGGCTACTATCAATTGGGTTTTACTTTTATTGGACATTTTATATCCTTAATTCCTTATATATGTTTACGTTTAGCCCATATCTTAACTTGGACTGTTTTTAGGATGACAAATTATTATGACGTTGATGATATCTTAGCTGAAGAAGAGGTCAGATTATCCATTTCTTGAATTGCATTACGAATCCAAATTTTGTGGAAATCAATACTCTTCTTTTAATTAAATAAATTTTGTGATTTTTCTTTTTCTTTTCATGTCTTGATTTCAGCTGGTTCCAGCTGTATTCCAGAAGACTGCTAATGGAGTCGGGATATTTGATTGCTGTGATGATACAAATAAGGTTATGACTGGATTATTTGAAAAAGGCTTTTTATAAGTATGAGGGCCTTGAGGGGCTTTAACTGCAAAATCAAAAGCTGATAAGGGTACTTCAAACTTTAAGGTGGGAGCCGGTACTGAAGTGGAAATGCCTTTCTGGCTTGCATGTGACCTATATGTTAAACAAGCAGTGAAGATCAAAGTTCCGTCATGTTTTGACACCAAGTAAAGTTTGCATGCTCCCTCTTTGTTTTATCTATGCTGATAATAATGACATTGCATGATTTTAGAAATAGAAATTATAAAAGATATGGCAATTGGCAATTGTGTTTGTATAGAGTGAGGAGGCGCTGCCCCTTAACTTTGCCCACCCACAATGTATTGATTGATCAACATGATGCATATATGCATCCATACCAAGAGGGTTCCGATATACTCTTCATTTGGCAACATTGCAATACCATATTTCAAAAAAGCTAACAGTAGCATATTTAAACACTTAACTAAAAGTATGGACTATGGAGTATGGACTATGGAGCTAGTGACATAAATTATGTTAAGATATGGGCTATGGAGCCAGGGAGCTACAGTGCTCACCTTTGGGCCCAATATATTCTTCATTTTGCTACCCTGTCACTCTGAATGACCCCCATGACAAATTCCAGAAATCTACTATATTTAAGTTTTTACTTGTCCACATCATTTATTTCTCAATCTGCTATACTGTTCAACTAAAATCTAGAGCTACTTGAAGTGTTCTAAAATTGCAAAACATTTACTCGGTAATTAAGAGGTCAACCAAGCTAAAATCCAGTTTAATAAGTTTTGTCTTGAACTCTTGATTCATCCCTTGTAGGTGCCTCTGAACTAGGTCTTGTTAAGTGTAGCAAAGGAAGTGGATTTTTACCTTAACCCTTGCTATACTTGATCTGAACACTTAACAAGAACTGAGATCAAACATTAAGTTTGCACCATACTCTTCTTTAGTAGAGGCTCAGTACAAATTAATGTATAATGTCCTCATTTTTGGTTAATATGACCTTCATTTATGCTATGTTAAATATCTCACTGTTCGGGGTTGTCAAAATTTTTATTAGAGAAATGCTAAAGGTACCCCAAAATGGGGTACCCCGTCCTTACCCCGGCCTAATGTGTGGCCATAAATGGGGCAACACATTTAAGTGGTGCCCCACTTAAATGTGTTGCCCCATTTATGGCCACACATTAGGTAGGGGTAAGAACGGGGTACCCCATTTTGGAGTACCTTTAGCATTTCTCTTTTTATTAATAGGCTGTAGGCCTAAAACTGATTTCAAAAATTCAATTCCTTCTGAACTTTTACATGTGAATATTATTGTAATCTATTCACTAGAGAGAGACCAAGAGATAGACACCGTGATGAACCAATAAGAAAAAGGGACAGAACAAAAGATGAAATTGGAGCTGATGCTGCACATGTAGATCTGAGAGGTCGATGCCCATATTTTTACGAATTCGGATGCAAGATAGCAAGACTGTGAGTTACTTATATCTTTCTTCATTATATGGTGCATCAAGTAAGGGGTGGACTTGGGCTGGTTCCTGTTCTGGAACTGCAGTTTTCTGGATCATGTTTATGAGAGAGCCTTAACGGGAACTGCTTTGTGCCGATAGGGTCTATTTGCAATTCCTTATCCAATTCCGCGGTTCCAGATCGGAATTATAGGTCATTAGCTTTTAAAAAAGTACCTTTGGGGAACCGATACCGGAACCACCTGTCCTTCTATCATCATTAAACCCGTAACAGGAACCTATATTACATCAGTCTGGTTCTGGTTCTTGCTTCTCCGGCTCTGGTCTGGTTCCAGATCCACAGGTTCCGGCAATTCTTTTACCAAATGCACATATATATATAATTATAATCAACTTGGTGGTTTTGAATAATGTTGGCATTTTGACACAAATTACTCAAATCAGTAGTGTAGAATCTAAAGTACAAAGTATCTCATACTTATTATGTTTCATGTATGACAGTTCTTTGTAACTCTGAGCGTGCTAATTTGTTATTTGGTACTATGTTGAATATGATTGCCATTTTTTGCTTGCGACCTCATTAAAGCTCAACAGCTGTTGCTGTGCTATGTTTTTGGGTTCTTAATAGACATTGTCCTCTAGTACATAAAGATTGACACTTAAGGTAAAATGGAATAGCATTTATTGTGCAGCAATATGGTTAAGAAATAGCATTGATTGTGCAGCAATATGGTTAAGAATAGTTTGCTTCTGTATATATGGTGCTTCATATTCAATTGTGGAGGTATGCAAATTGTGTTAAGCTGTTAGTATGTTATACTCCCTCCGTCCCAATTTGATTTGCAAAATTTCCTTTTTTGGTTGTCCCAATATGGTTTTCCACTTTCTATTTTTGGTATGTAAATAAGAATAAAGTGACAAATTTACCCTTACTTTTACTTTTTCCCATTAACTTAAAGGCATCTACTTTTAGAAAGATGGGCAAAAGTGTAAAAAACAAACTTCATTTATTGTCATTTCTTAATCCTCGTGCCGGTCAAAGTTTGCAATTCAATTCGGGACGGAGGGAGTAGTGTTCTCAACATTGAGTTACTTGAGTTATTGGTAATTCAATAAAGTTACACCAAGAATGACAAGAACTGGGAAGTGGGCACACCCATGGTATATGGAGGTTTTTTATTCATGCAATGTAAAAATGGAGAGTCTTAGGCATCTTCTAATTCCTAACTTTTGTTTTCTTCCAAAATATCGGCATCACCCAATTCCCAAGAAGTCTCTTATTCCCTGATAATAAGATGCCATTCCAAATGAGAAATGGTTGAAATGCTAGTTTGGGTATTAAGTCATCTAGTTTTGGAGAGACAAAACATAAGCATTAAATTACCATTATACAATCAAGTTAAATTATAATAGTTCAATTGCCAAATACCATATAATGATACGCATAATTATAAGTTCAGAAAGTCTCAAACACATGATATGATCACTCATGGGGTTATGGAGCTGAGATGGATACTGAAAGGCCGTCCATGCCCAGGATTATGAAACCGGTACAAATACTGGAAGGCCTTTCAGACGCAGGCCCGAGACTGAAATGACCAGAACAAGACATGAATTGACAAAGCAGGGCTTGATACGGCTAGCCCAGGACTTGAATGGATGGAGCCAGGGCGTGAGACCTGGACGTACAAAGCCAAGATGGGAGACTTGACCGACCTCACCAGGAAGACCCCTATTCTGAGTAGACAGGGAAGACCTTGGGCGCTGACCTCACGGGATCGGTCCGGGATTGCCGACCAGACATGGAAGACCCTGCCTGCCAACCTCATGGGATTGGCCTGGGACTGCCAACCTCATGAGATTGGCATGGTACTGCCAACTACATTGGGAAGACACCGGGGTTCAAATTATAATCACATAGTTCGTGGAACGCTTTGGTATGTGAATGAGGACTAGGAACGTGGTTCACTAGGTCTAGCATATGCGGTCCAGAGGAGGGTAGGTTCATCTCGGTATGCGTTCGGTATGATGTACCTGATGTTCGGTACGTTGTACCTTATGTTTTGGTACTATAGTAAAAGACATAAAACAGAAGTACATATTTCATAACATCAAACAAAAACAGATTCCATAACATGATTTCATAGCATTAAACAAAAACAGATTTCATAACATGATTTCATAACATTAAACAAAATCAGAAACATTAATATTCTAGAAACATTTGACTCAAAACTGAAAAACGGGATCAGAAACATTAATTGAATCAGAAAATTTTTTGTGTGATCGGTTGTAATCGACATGAATAGCAATTGCGATCGAAGGATAGCGATTGCGATCGCAATGAACAGTGAATGGGAATGAGTTGGGAGTGTACTATCTGGCGATCCAGGTAGTGTCTGGAACGCTTTCGTACCGCAATTGGGTACGTAGCCTTCGGTTCACAGATCGTGGCCTCTTATGTTTCTAACTACAAAATAATTAGAAATGTGGTTTGTTTGAGGGTTTGCTGCAAACTATGAATTCCACGTATCTTTTATTGAAATGTATATATGCCAACTATAAACTATGGTGTTCACTTCTCATATTCCTTTGTATTATAATCAATGATTTTTTAAAACGTGCAATAAGGCCTACTCATAAACCTTGTGTAAATAAAAGTATACTCCACAAAGGTGTGATATAAGGCCAATATAAAATGTGCTTAAATGTGTAGTCTTAAATATAAACATGCATGTTTCAGTTAAAGTTTAATTTTATGAGTCTTTGCAAAGAAAGTAAAATGATTATATAATACAGTTAGCATGATTACTTATCTCCAGTTTTGTTTTTGACATAAGTAATTAAAATATTGGTATTATATCCCGGAGGTTTTAAGTTGTGGTATTCGGGAAGAGATAAGACTAGAAATGGGGTAGACATTATTGTAGCGCGTGACTATGTTGAGGATGTGGTAGAAGTTTTCAAGAAGAACGATCGCATCATGAACATTAAATTGGTGATAAGGGGTGCGATTGTGTCTGTGGTAAGTGCCTATGCAGCACAAGTGGGATTGGATGCATCTACAACTCAACAGTTCTCGGAAGATCTTGAAGACGTGGTGCGACGAGTGCCAAGGGGAGAGAAGTTGATCATAGGAGGTGACCTCAACGGGCATGTGGGCTCGAGTCGTGATGGCTTTGAGAGTATTCATGTTGGACATGGTTTTGGCACTAGGAATGAGGCGAGAAAGAACATTTTAGATTTTGCCTTGACGTATGAGTTGGCTATAATGAACACTTGGTTTAAGAAAAGAGACTCTCACCTTGTAACCTATAAAAGTGGAGCTAATAGTACCCAAATTGACTACTTCTTAGTACGGACCACTTGGAGAACTAGCTACACTGATTGTAAGGTTATTCCAGGTGAGAGTGTTGTCACTCAGCATAGGATGCTTGTGCTTGACTTTCGAGGTAAGTGAAGTTTTCTGAATATTATTTCCTTGAATTCATTTACAAGAAGTACATAAGCTATTTATACATATAGGAATCCTGAGAGAGTCTATTCAGCACCCTAGGTGACTGTCTAAATACTAAACATAAATGATTGAGCACTGAAAAGACAACAGCTATTAAATACAACCTGAAGCACTAAAGACACATAATTACAGTAATAATAAGGAAAATAAATCCTAGATTAATGATGTCTCTTCGTTTTATCAACACTCCCCCTCAAGCTAGGTTTGTAGATATCCGTCATGCCTAGCTTGACAATAAGACCCTGGAACCTAGGACTGTGCAGAGGTTTGGTAAACACATCTGCAACTTGATCTTCTGAGGGAGTGTAACTTAGTTCGATCAGACCTCCTTCAACCTTTTCTTTGATAAAGTGCCTATCAATCTCAATATGCTTGGTCCGATCATGTTGGACTGGATTATGAGCTATGTTGATTGCTGATTTGTTATCACACCTCAATTCCATTGGTCCTTTCCACTTGATTCGTAAATCTAAGAGAATAATTCTGATCCATAGAAGTTCACATAAGCCATGGGCAAGAGCTCTTAGCTCAGATTCAGCAGATGATCGTGCCACAACATTCTGTTTTTTGCTTCTCCATGTCACGAGGTTTCCTGCTAGGAAAACACAGAGACCAGTGGTTGACCGACGGTCAACGTGGGAGCCACCATAATCTGCATCAGTGAAGGCTTGGACTGATAATTGCCCACCCTTCCTGAATATTATCCCTTGCCCTGGACTTCCTTTTAGGTAGTGAAGAACCCTATAGGCTGCTTCTAGATGTGGTTTCCTTGGATCATGCATGAACTGATCCACTTGTGATAGTATAGGTGGAGAGAGGTGAAGGATGTGGAGTATCTTGGGATACAGGGAGAGAAGTAGGAGTGTAAAAAGGTGTGTCTTCGTGAAAGGTCACATCTGCACTGGTGTATGTCTTTCTGGTTGTAGGATTATAGCACTTATATCCTTTCTGAGTTGGAGAATAACCAAGAAAGATACACTTAATAGATCGTGGGTCCAATTTTCCCCTTTGAGGTGGAGGAATATGAACAAATGCAGTACACCCAAACACCCTTAGATCAAGATCAGAAGAAATTCTGGTTTGAGGAAAGAAGTGACGGAGAGATTCAAGGGGTGACTTATTTTGGAGTACCCGACTGGGAATTTTATTGATGAGATGACATGCTGTGAGTGTGGCTTCCCCCCAATAGTGTTTAGGCATATTTGATTGAAACAATAAAGCCCGACTGACGTCTAGGAGATGGCGATTTTTTCTTTCTGCTGTGCCATTCTGTTTTGGTGTGTACGGACAAGAGGACTCATGAACAATGCCTTTTGAGAGGAAATAAGAGGAAACAGTTTGATTGAAGTATTCAAGAGCATTATCAGTGCGGAAGCGTTTTATTGTGGCGGAGAACTGATTATGAATCATATTGCAAAAGATAGGAATGATGGAACTCACCTCACTCTTGTTTTTTAGCAGAAAAACCCACATAAAACGTGT